GCTGAACCAGCAGGGGGCACTCACCTTCTTTGCACCAACCAATGATGCGTTTAACGCTTTGCCAAGGGCCGAACTCAACGTGCTGCTGCGTAAGTACAAAGGACACTGTATGAATCAAGTGAGTGAGAGTGTTTGAGTTCATCTCTGGGATACGTGATACAAAGAGAGCCCATAGTTTGATTCTCTGCTACAACTCCATGTTTGGCCAGAACACCATCAACACTTTCCATGACTCAGAACATCAGCAGCCCCTCTACCTTTTTGTCTTTTCAAATAAACTATCAGAGTCTGTTTACAAGACTTAGGACAATCATTCACACTCCACTTCATCATGTTGATCTAAGCTAGAAGCTGCTGAAGATTAATTCAGATACAAATGCGCACACACACAACCACACACACTCCGATGCGAGAGATCTCCTCTGTGTGCAGGTGATCCCTGGGAACTGCAGAATGTACTCAAGTATCACCTGGGCGAGGGCCTGTTGGTGAGCGGCGGAGTGGGATCTCATACAAGAGTCAAACCTTTGCAGGGAGAAAAACTGGAGCTGGGCGTGGTCAGTGAAATAACTATTTTGACTCAAAGTGCTCATATAACAGTGCTAACAGTGCCTCTGCTGTGTTTCAGAGGAACTACACCGTCTATGTCAACAGGGTCCCAGTGGCAGACGCAGACCTGATGGCAACCAACGGAGTCGTGCACGCAATGAACAAAATCATCACTCCCCTGCGTAAGTATCACGAACACCTGTAGCTGAAGAGCATTGAAGATTTATGTGTGAAACAATCTCTGTGTCTGTTCAGCCCCAAAGGTTGACAGAGAACAGGCAGATGGACCAGCACCCCCAAGGGTAAGACACAACGTCATACACAGTGAGAGAAAACAAAGGAGACATTAGAGGAGACAGTGAGACACAGAAAGAGTTTTAACAAGAGACAGCAAAACTCCTGAGTGGGTTTACATACGTAGGTGGGGAAACACTGATTCTGCTCAATTTTGTAATGAAAAAACTTTTTATACCCATCCACAGTTGAGGAAGAAGCACGACGTCAGACTTAGTTTTACAGGTCTTTAGCCCATATGTTTTTGGAGTGATCCTAGTAGACACCACAAAATATTTGTAGTAATTTATTTTTAGTCATTTTTTGATATTTTAGTTTAGGGAACAAACAAATTAGAAGTTGGAGGTTTGAACTCTGCTGGAACTGAACTGTAAACTAACTCTCTCTCTTTCTCTCTCACTCTCTCTGTCACAGATGCCAATTCGAACCTTCAAGAATGGTGAGTAGTCCCTACTGTTTGTTTTAAAGATCTTGACAGGTCATGGTTCTGACTGGTTGAGTGGTTTGTTTTTTTTCCAGACGATCTTTTCCAGAAGATCATCAGCAGCCGCACCAGCAGGACCATGTCCAGGGGTCAGTGAAATAATTGCCCCTACCCTCCAGTAGGTTGAAGGCGTAACCACCCCGCCCCCCCACCCCCCCGCACCAATGAGAGTCAAAGGTCACATGAGGCCAGGAAATTTCCACCAAGGAAATTGTGACAAAACAGAAGTTTGTTGAAGGATCTGAGGAAAAGTATTGTTCACTTTACTTTATAAATACTCTTTTTAAAAAAAGAAAAAGATAAGAAAAAAAAGTATTTGAATTTTGATCTGCAGCTGTCAAAGGCCTGAGGTCTTATAGCATGACCAACTGAGCTCTGAATATTTTTTAGGATTTTTTTCTTGGTTTTGTAAAATAAAATAAAATTACATTAAAAAATTGTGTTGAGTAATTTGAAACTCTTTGTTTGAAAGTCTGTGTGTGTGTGTTTCCAGTGTTATGAAAAATAAATGAGGACCAGGTGAAGTTAATAAAAGGAGCTGCCAAGACAACCATACATATTCACACAGAGAGAGAGGAAGAGGGGTTTCTCTTTACACTGGATATCTTAGAGTGACAGCAGGATACCATAAATTTAATTTTGTAGTAGCTTCAAAAGAAAAAATAAAGAGTAAATCGAAACTGAAAGATTCAAAGACAGGATACAATTTTGTAAAGGTTTATCCTAACAATCTGGAGCTTATTCAAGTGACTACAGCAATGAATGAATAAACTGTGTAATCAGATCCAGAAAATACGTCACAATTGTAGTTCGCAGACATCTGGTTTCAAAACTCATTCCCTCTTTAAAGCTTCAACAATTTGCAAATACAACAGACATTACGAAACTCAAGATTCTTTGATGTTTCCTACAACGGGGCTCCGAGGTTGTTTTTTTTTTGGGAAATTCACTCGTGCTACAAAACGAACACCCTCTTTTGTCCACGGGTTGGGTTTTGCAACACATGGCTAAATGATTTTCTTTAAAACAATTTATGATAATAATTAAGGGACTGGTTGCTGCCGGCTTCTAAAGAATCTTGTCACAAACGAGAGAGAGCGTGCGTGTACTCAGAGAAAAGTTCGTGGTTGTAGTATCCTGGCTCATGTTTGTTAGAAATGCAGCACCACGCCGCCCTCTAGCGGGTACAGTGAGCCTTCGCGGTCATGAGTGAGACAAATTCGCAAATTCTATTAAATTATCTGAAGAAGTAATAAATCATTTCAAGCGGACTCAGGTGACGCCTACTTATTTATGAATTAAGATAACACAGTTGTCCTCAGCAGTTGATCACATAAGTGAGACGTTTGTGTCGCCAATTAATGCAGATTGACCATTTTTACTGCCCCCTCTTGGTAAGGCAATAACATTACTAGACTATACGATGGAGCGGTATTTGCCGAACTGCATATTATGATAACATTGACATTAAAAGGCTACAATGTCATCAGTTTTCTAATTTATGAACCAGTGACACGACATGAAAGGTGAACAAACGAACATCAGAACGTTGTTTTACATGTAATAGAATGCGGTGCATTTTCGTTAAACAGTAAACAGTAAGAAAGAAAAAGCAGTTCTTTGTGGCGTTGTGAATGATAACATGTAACTTGTATTCGTATTCCTATGTGAAACTGAGGCTGGAAACATGCTGCGGAACCAAGTCTGGAGCAATTGTTTTTCCACAGTCCGATAGTACACATCCGTTTCTGGTGAGTCACTTTTATTTGTGTCCCCGCTGCCGACGCTATGTTTTCTGCGCTGCAAGACCGCGTGGGCCAGATTCTTTTACCAGGTGACGAGTTCTGCTCCGACACTGACGACACCATCTCTTTGTCGGAGCCAGTGAAGTCGGAGAAGCTGGTGTGTGGACCAGGTCTGAGGCGCAGCGGAGCCCGGTTACTGGTGTGTAAAAGTGGAGTCCTTCGTCACAAACCGCCCAACGTGTTCTGGATCGACTGTCAACAGCGCAGGGTAAGTCAAACCGCATTCTACTCATATATCCCGGTTCGTTGACTCGTATTCTAATGGAATAAATACGATATAATTCTAAAGCGAGTTTCTACTAGTGAAACGGCTTTAGCCAAATAACTGAACAAAGTTTGTCTTTAGAGTCAACCGATTGTCCTGTGCACAGTAATTGTATCTTAACAGGCGCCGTCTACTCTTGAATTTATTTATTTATTTACGGAGATGTGTGCTTCCTTTAACTAACTAGACACTCAGTTTAGAGTGGATGTCAACGTCACATCAACTTTAGTCCAGAGGGATAACGAATGAGGTTTGATGTTAATTAAGATATGTCATGTATGCATGTGCATCTACCTGTCCTCAGTATGTTCCAGCTAGAGGTGAGACCGTCATTGGCATCGTCACAGCAAAGTCTGGTGACGTCTTCAAGGTCGATGTTGGAGGAAGTGAACAAGCCTCACTCTCGTACCTTGCGTTCGAGGGTGCCACGAAAAGAAATAGACCCAATGTCCAGGTGAGGAAATAGAAGACAAGCTTCGTGCAAAATTTACCTCCATGCACAATCTTTTCGTGTTTATCTATAAACAAAAAAGAAAAGAAAAAGTAAAACAAAATTGCACACCACAACTGTTTATCTCTTTTAACAAAACGTGTAACATCATGTATAAATGTTATTATAAATGTTAATGACGTGTAAATGTTTGCTTTTGTTAAATATATTTCTGTGTGCAGGTGGGAGATCTACTCTTCGCTCAGTTCATTGTAGCCAACAAGGATATGGAGCCAGAGTTGGCATGTATCGACAGCTCGGGTCGAGCCAGTGGGATGGGCGTTTTCGGTGGAGGCGGGCTTCTCTTTAGGGTTTCCCTGGGACTCGTCAGGAGGTAACGCTGCTTCCCGTGCACCCACTGCTCCAACTTCCCAGAATTCAGAAACAAGCAGCCACCTTTGTTCTTTCCTCCCTCAGGCTACTGGCGCCTAACAGTGACGTGCGTTCCGACCTGGAGCAGTTATTTCCCTGTGAGCTGGTGGTCGGGTTGAACGGCAGAGTGTGGGTGAAGGCAGCTAGTATACAGCAGACGCTTATTGTCGCAAATCTGCTGCAGAGCTCCGACGCCATGACAGCCACACAGAGGAGACAGCTGTTTGCCAAAGTCCAGCAGGGGGCGCTTTGATATCACCGCCATCACTAAGATTACAGCTGCGTTTTAGGATCCAGAGGAGAGCGCTGTGATATCGCATTGATGTTGCTGCTGTTTCATGTGGGTTTTTTGTTTGTTTGTTTGTTTTCCCACAATTTTCTAAGTTGACTATCATATGATATCATTAAACAAATAATAAACACAACATAATGTTCGTTTGTGTAATTATCCAAAAACCCTAATAAAGTTTTGATACTTTGCTAAATCTTTTTTAACTTCTTTTCCAAACCTGAAAGAAAAATTTAAATAAACTTTATTTTAGTCATCAAGAGACAAGCATGTTTGTTCTACAAAATTCATTCTTTGAGCAAAA